TGTCTAGGATGCTTCTAGAGACATTGAAGGCAATAGTTCCATCAAGAGGCCTTCTGATCAAGCATCTGGTTTGGTTCTTGCTACAGGGTATACTTCAACCCTGTGTGATCAACATTAATTTCGAGGAAGAATTTTGGGAACCCTAGGATTGGGTTCAGGTGTTGCTTATGTATGCTAGGCAAAGGACGATTGTTTGGTTTATATAGAGTGTTTGGTTACTGCGTTGAGGAGATTCGCCAGTTAATTTCGATGAAGACGGATTTGAAATCTAGGAGTTTCATTCGGTTGCACCGGAATTCATGTCAATGTGAGAATTGTTAGAATTTTGGGGTGACCCGAATTCTTTTGTTGAAATAATTGTAGAATTCTAATTGAAGTGTACATCGAGAGAAATTCTAGTTGGAATACTTTGAGGAATCATATTCATTAATTGTCAAATTCTATTTAAAGTTCTATTTTGAAGCCAATTGGGAGTTAGAATTTGAGTTGGACTTGAAGAGTTCAAATAAGGCAACTTTTAGGCATTTGTTTCATCTACAACTACTTCTAGGGATGGATTTTTTCCTATAAATATGGGGCTCCTCTGTCAGTTTTATGAGAAGCAATTTTGCTAAGTTTTACTTGTTTTCTCCATATTGTTCAGTAATAAACATTGTTTCTCTATGATTCACCCTTTTTGCTCTTCTTTACTTTAAATCTTGTTTTCATGGTGTGATCTTGTTTACATCAATATTGTTATTAAATCTCACTTTTTACAATCCGATTTGGGATCAACAAGTGGTATCGGAGCTTCTGTGACCAACAGGTGTGCCCATTCCAGATGTAAAACATGTATTACTATTAGACAGTGGTCGTGCAGGCTCTTGGTACGAATCTAAGCCAATTAGTAAATATTCATCACCAATGGCAGTCTCATGTTCAGATGATTAAGGTGCTTTTAGAATCACAATGGAATGTCATAAAGGTCATCAAACAGATACTTTGAAAATTATTAGAACATTGTACGAGTTTGGAAAAAATTATGTAACTTTTTAACGTAGACAAGCAGAAAGCTGACTGCAACCAAGCAACAGAAGCAGATTGGATTTGGAAGTCCAGAAGCAAAACAGGAAAAAAAAAAAAAAAAAAGCTGTATGAAGGCAACATACAATTTGCATTGACAACCATGAGAAGAAATTACAGCTAGTTGACCAATTGTAGCAGATAAGAAATGAGAGTACAACTTGAGATCACACTTCGTTTGACCAACCAATATTAGTAGATAATTGTTAGATGGAATAGAGATGAAAAGACAATACCTAAAATTTTATCGAAGGATGCTGATATTAACAAGATAATATGTAAACAAATATACACATCTACTTCAAGAAAGTATATTGTGAAACAGTACATTGTGTCCTAGCTAAAGCATGAAGCTGATCATCAACTTAGGTAGCAATAACTGCAATTATGACATTATGGAAATAAATAAACAGTGTGGAAATAGGAAAAATAATATTGCAAACATTTAATGTTGAAATGCAAATTATGCCCTAATGTGTGCAAAACAAATTGATAGCACCCCCACCCCTACTTGGTTTTAGAATACCCTAACAATCCTACTCTAGAAACCTTACTTGGTTCAAAATGCTCTTCAAATTACCTCAAGAAATAAAAAAAAATGATCTATCTAAGCTACGCAGTTTCTTTTTGTCCAGAATTCACACTGACAAAAGGAATTGAGTTAGACAAGGATCAGACTAATTAATTAGCAATGTCGCCAAGCCATTTTTCATTAACATAATGACTTCCAGAAAAAGGGAGGAGCCAGGATTTTAGTTCAGTGCGGGCAAAAAAAAAATTTCGACACCAAACATCATAGTAAAATAACTTCATTATCGAACTTCAAAAATATATCTTTTTTCAGACGTGCTGCACTAGCATAAAAATGAACCCACTGGCCAATTGTTTCTCAGAAGAGAAAAGAGTGCAAGCAACTAATTATATGCACCTTCGAGTAATTTAGTAAACAGAAGGCACATCTTACTAGTGTCGTTAGGCTAAAATTCTCCATAGGACGTCTTTTTTCTCAACCGCATACCACCATTACCATATTTTCCCTAAGATCCTACTATAGCAATTCCTTTTGATTTGGCTGCGGCAATTGCCGTAGCTACTGCAGCTGAAGGGAGGAATGGCAATTGCAGCACTAGATTGTGAATTACTTTGGCTGAGGGAGGAATGGCATCGGATTGTGAATTACTTTGTGTTGCAACTATATGTTGCTACTGCTGTGTTTGTTGAGAGTTTACCTTAGCAAATAGTGCATTGATCTGACTTCCCGTGAATGTCTCGTGCAGTGATGGACTTAGGAATGGATCCAAGACCGAGCTAATATGTAAAAAAAAAAAAAAAAAAACACATAAAAAATTGGTTTATTATAAAAAAAGAAAAAAGAAAAAAAGAAAGTAAAAAATATCCTTTAAAAAACTTCTTGGGTCTGAGGGAGGGACTACAACCCAACCCAATCCCCTCCCAAATCCGTCCCTAGTCTTGTGCTCGAGAAAAGCATTGGAAAGAACATGGTGCTCTTTATGGCAATGGTGCTAGAGTAGGCTGCGAACGAGCGGAGGTTGAAAAATGAAAATCGAATTGGAAATTTCAAATTGATTGAATAATTTCAACTGAAATGGCAGAATTGGTTGTATTTTGTATTTATAAATGGGTCATGAGTTTTGGGTAATCATGTTGGGCTAATGGGTTAATGGGCTAGTGGGTTTCGCTTGGTAGTTGGGCTGGAGCTTGGAGGGAATTAAAAGATAAAAAACATTTGGGCCGTAGGGTTGGGCCCAAAAGTTTAGTGCGGGCATGGACTCCATTGGGCTCCCCCCAGGTGGCGACGTTGGTCACGATGGTAAGTGGCAAAAGAATCGAGGACTGCTAAACTTCTTTGATGAGGAAGTACAGATAGACAGTGATGAAGAAGAGGAAGGCGAAAATGGTTAGGTTTTTTTCTTCTTTTTTTCTTCTTTTTTTTTTTTTTTGCGGTCTTATTTTATGTTATCAATTACTTAGTTTATTGATTTTGAGTTTTATAATCTGTTGAAAATTTTCGTTTGAGAAGAAAGTTCTGTGATTTAGTGAAAATTAAAGTGAATGAGGCAAACCTATAATTTTTTTATTATCAATTTGACAAATGAAACAAAAAAAGAAAGTTGAAATTTCTTACTTTAAAGGAAAAGCAATTATGACAAGTTTCAAGTTATTATAGTTGTTGTGGATAAAACTTAGGGGAAATTTTGCTCTGTGAATATGTTAAGTTCTTGTGAGTACATCGAAATTACCAGAGATTGGAGACTAGGAGTACGCCTAAAAATTTTGGCAGCTGCAGCTGAAGAGAAAGAAATACATTCATTTGAAATTGACCCTGCACAAGTAGGTTAATTAGTTCTGTCAAAATAATCTCCTATTTTCTTCATTTTTAATGTAGACAGCAGTTGTGATGATGATCTTTCATTTCATTTAATCTGGACTTTACTATGACTGGGCTTCAACATATATGTGTAATTGTTATTCCTTCAATGGACAATTCTAAGTGTACATAATTTGGTTTACCAAATCATTTACCTACTCTCACAAGCACGTGGACCCCGCGTGAATAAAATAATTCCAACATGTGGTCCCCACACCCCTATTGTAAGTGTATGTAAAACATTATGTAAAGAAAATTAGGTACATCTAGCATGGTCTTCCTTCAATGTGTGTATAGTATTCTGTGCATTGTCTTGGAAGCTAGGTCTAAAATATGTATATCCAATAGGTTTCTTTGGTTTGGATATATTTCTTCACTAAAGAATATTTAATGTCGTTACTTTTCAAGAAATAATTGGAACCATCTTCCTTTATGACACATCACGTGTCGAATTAACCCATTTGTACCATTTAAGACCAATAATTAACCCCCCAACCCCCCACCACCACAATATACATACACGTCATTTTCATTAACATAATGACTTCCAGAAAAAGGGAGGAGCCAGGATTTTAGTTCAGTGCGGGCAAAAAAAAAATTTCGACACCAAACATCATAGTAAAATAACTTCATTATCGAACTTCAAAAATATATCTTTTTTCAGACGTGCTGCACTAGCATAAAAATGAACCCACTGGCCAATTGTTTCTCAGAAGAGAAAAGAGTGCAAGCAACTAATTATATGCACCTTCGAGTAATTTAGTAAACAGAAGGCACATCTTACTAGTGTCGTTAGGCTAAAATTCTCCATAGGACGTCTTTTTTCTCAACCGCATACCACCATTACCATATTTTCCCTAAGATCCTACTATAGCAATTCCTTTTGATTTGGCTGCGGCAATTGCCGTAGCATTTCACACAATTATAAAATTCTATAGTCCTATGGGAGCCATATGTGGTGTTGGTGTGGTTAAGGGATTCGGAAAGACCCTGTACATGACCAAGGGTGGTGGTGGTACTAATGTAGTAGCCGACGGTTACACCAAGGGTGATGCCCTAGGTGCTGAAATTGTTGGTACCTCTGTGCCCTTTAAAAAACTTCTTGGGTCTGAGGGAGGGACTACAACCCAACCCAATCCCCTCCCAAATCCGTCCCTAGTCTTGTGCTCGAGAAAAGCATTGGAAAGAACATGGTGCTCTTTATGGCAATGGTGCTAGAGTAGGCTGCGAACGAGCGGAGGTTGAAAAATGAAAATCGAATTGGAAATTTCAAATTGATTGAATAATTTCAACTGAAATGGCAGAATTGGTTGTATTTTGTATTTATAAATGGGTCATGAGTTTTGGGTAATCATGTTGGGCTAATGGGTTAATGGGCTAGTGGGTTTCGCTTGGTAGTTGGGCTGGAGCTTGGAGGGAATTAAAAGATAAAAAACATTTGGGCCGTAGGGTTGGGCCCAAAAGTTTAGTGCGGGCATGGACTCCATTGGGCTCTCCCCAGGTGGCGACGTTGGTCACGATGGTAAGTGGCAAAAGAATCGAGGACTGCTAAACTTCTTTGATGAGGAAGTACAGATAGACAGTGATGAAGAAGAGGAAGGCGAAAATGGTTAGGTTTTTTTCTTCTTTTTTTCTTCTTTTTTTTTTTTTTTGCGGTCTTATTTTATGTTATCAATTACTTAGTTTATTGATTTTGAGTTTTATAATCTGTTGAAAATTTTCGTTTGAGAAGAAAGTTCTGTGATTTAGTGAAAATTAAAGTGAATGAGGCAAACCTATAATTTTTTTATTATCAATTTGACAAATGAAACAAAAAAAGAAAGTTGAAATTTCTTACTTTAAAGGAAAAGCAATTATGACAAGTTTCAAGTTATTATAGTTGTTGTGGATAAAACTTGGGGGAAATTTTGCTCTGTGAATATGTCAAGTTCTTGTGAGTACATCGAAATTACCAGAGATTGGAGACTAGGAGTACTCCTAAAAATTTTGGCAGCTGCAGCTGAAGAGAAAGAAATACATTCATTTGAAATTGACCCTGCACAAGTAGGTTAATTAGTTCTGTCAAAATAATCTCCTATTTTCTTCATTTTTAATGTAGACAGCAGTTGTGATGATGATCTTTCATTTCATTTAATCTGGACTTTACTATGACTGGGCTTCAACATATATGTGTAATTGTTATTCCTTCAATGGACAATTCTAAGTGTACATAATTTGGTTTACCAAATCATTTACCTACTCTCACAAGCACGTGGACCCCGCGTGAATAAAATAATTCCAACATGTGGTCCCCACACCCCTATTGTAAGTGTATGTAAAACATTATGTAAAGAAAATTAGGTACATCTAGCATGGTCTTCCTTCAATGTGTGTATAGTATTCTGTGCATTGTCTTGGAAGCTAGGTCTAAAATATGTATATCCAATAGGTTTCTTTGGTTTGGATATATTTCTTCACTAAAGAATATTTAATGTCGTTACTTTTCAAGAAATAATTGGAACCATCTTCCTTTATGACACATCACGTGTCGAATTAACCCATTTGTACCATTTAAGACCAATAATTAACCCCCCAACCCCCCACCACCACAATATACATACACGTCATTTCTTAACTAATCATTTGACCAGCTAGCTTATTGATGTCATGTATATGCATATGTATAAATGCTATAGCTGGTCAGTATGAAACTCGATTGTGTACTGTTTTTTATATGGAAGATCAAGGCTTTCTGTCAGAATTTTGATAGCAGTGATTCTTCTTGTTTCTTTGGCAAATTTCTTAAAATCTTTCTGAATGTTGGTAGTGTATACTGTTTTTACAATTTCAGAAACTAAATTCTTCTTGGGTTGTTTGCTAAATTAATAATATATAATACAGCAAGCCAAAAATGAGAAATAATTGCTTGTTCTCTAAGTAACTTTCACAATATTGCCTAACTGATTAGCTGATCATATTCTATTAACTATTTATGTGTTTACAGGTTGAGAATGTTAAGCAACATTGTTTCCCTAATGTTCTGAATTATTCCATGCTGGAAGAGAATCACTTCAGTAACGACACTGTGAATTGCTTTTGATTTCTTTTTATCATTAGGGCTAGAGATACCTATTATTTCACACAATTATAAAATTCTATAGTCCTATGGGAGCCATATGTGGTGTTGGTGTGGTTAAGGGATTCGGAAAGACCCTGTACATGACCAAGGGTGGTGGTGGTACTAATGTAGTAGCCGACGGTTACACCAAGGGTGATGCCCTAGGTGCTGAAATTGTTGGTACCTCTGTGCTCGTTTACACGGTTTTCTCTGCTTCTGATGCCAAACATAGAGCCAGAGACACACACATTCCTGTAAGTACTACTCTTGTCTTTGTAGGCCTATTTCTCTTGACATTATTAATTAGACTTAAGCCAATATAAATCATTCTACATAATAGGTATGATTAAATGTGATTAAGTTTGAAAAAGAATTGTCTTCTATATCTGTAAGAATTGGTAAATCAAAACCTGATATTATTGATCATGAAAAAGTTTGATTAATTGGATTTCGTAATGCTATAATTCAATGGTTTTCAAATATTGGCCCCCTTGCCCATTAGGTTTGCTATGTTCTTGGTGCACTTGGCTACCATCCCTATTATCGATACAAGTATTAACCGTGCCAGAAGTCTTGGTGCAGCAAACATCTACAATAAAGAGCAGGCATGGGATGATCATGTAAGCTAAAAATTGAACTATATCTAAATACAATATAATCAGTATTCTACTATTGAAATATTTGTGATAAGGAACCACTACATGTCGTGTTAACTTTTACATGTGTAAAGGTTCGCATGGTAAAACAGAATAAATTTTTATGTTTTTCACTTACCACAGCCCTCTTTTATTTATTTTCATACAACTATGAATTTTTTTAAAAAAATTGACAAATGGGATGATAAGATTGGCTAAAGTTTGTTCTTGCTCTCATCTTGCTCTGATAATATGCAATGGATATTCTGGGTTGTACCATATGGTTTTGGTGGAAGAGGCGACAGGGGGAAATTTTGCTCTGTGAATATGTCAAGTTCTTGTGAGTACATCGAAATTACCAGAGATTGGAGACTAGGAGTACTCCTAAAAATTTTGGCAGCTGCAGCTGAAGAGAAAGAAATACATTCATTTGAAATTGACCCTGCACAAGTAGGTTAATTAGTTCTGTCAAAATAATCTCCTATTTTCTTCATTTTTAATGTAGACAGCAGTTGTGATGATGATCTTTCATTTCATTTAATCTGGACTTTACTATGACTGGGCTTCAACATATATGTGTAATTGTTATTCCTTCAATGGACAATTCTAAGTGTACATAATTTGGTTTACCAAATCATTTACCTACTCTCACAAGCACGTGGACCCCGCGTGAATAAAATAATTCCAACATGTGGTCCCCACACCCCTATTGTAAGTGTATGTAAAACATTATGTAAAGAAAATTAGGTACATCTAGCATGGTCTTCCTTCAATGTGTGTATAGTATTCTGTGCATTGTCTTGGAAGCTAGGTCTAAAATATGTATATCCAATAGGTTTCTTTGGTTTGGATATATTTCTTCACTAAAGAATATTTAATGTCGTTACTTTTCAAGAAATAATTGGAACCATCTTCCTTTATGACACATCACGTGTCGAATTAACCCATTTGTACCATTTAAGACCAATAATTAACCCCCCAACCCCCCACCACCACAATATACATACACGTCATTTCTTAACTAATCATTTGACCAGCTAGCTTATTGATGTCATGTATATGCATATGTATAAATGCTATAGCTGGTCAGTATGAAACTCGATTGTGTACTGTTTTTTATATGGAAGATCAAGGCTTTCTGTCAGAATTTTGATAGCAGTGATTCTTCTTGTTTCTTTGGCAAATTTCTTAAAATCTTTCTGAATGTTGGTAGTGTATACTGTTTTTACAATTTCAGAAACTAAATTCTTCTTGGGTTGTTTGCTAAATTAATAATATATAATACAGCAAGCCAAAAATGAGAAATAATTGCTTGTTCTCTAAGTAACTTTCACAATATTGCCTAACTGATTAGCTGATCATATTCTATTAACTATTTATGTGTTTACAGGTTGAGAATGTTAAGCAACATTGTTTCCCTAATGTTCTGAATTATTCCATGCTGGAAGAGAATCACTTCAGTAACGACACTGTGAATTGCTTTTGATTTCTTTTTATCATTAGGGCTAGAGATACCTATTGTTTCACACAATTATAAAATTCTATAGTCCAATGGGAGCCATATGTGGTGTTGGTGTGGTTAAGGGATTCGGAAAGACTCTGTACATGAACTAGGGTGGTGGTGGTACTAATGTAGTAGCCGACGGTTACACCAAGGGTGATGCCCTAGGTGCTGAAATTGTTGGTACCTCTGTGCTCGTTTACACGGTTTTCTCTGCTTCTGATGCCAAACATAGAGCCAGAGACACACACATTCCTGTAAGTACTACTCGTCTTTGTAGGCCTATTTCTCTTGACATTATTAATTAGACTTAAGCCAATATAAATCATTCTACATAATAGGTATGATTAAATGTGATTAAGTTTGAACAAGAATTGTCTTCTGTATCTGTAAGAATTGATAAAAACCTGATATTATTGATCATGAAAAAGTTTGATTAATTGGATTTCGTAATACTATAATTCAATGGTTTTCAAATATTGGTCCCCTTGCCCATTAGGTTTGCTGTGTTCTTGGCGCACTTGGCTACCATCCCTATTATCGATACAGGTATTAACCGTGCCAGAAGTCTTGGTGCAGCAAACATCTACAATAAAGAGCAGGCATGGGATGATCATGTAAGCTAAAAATTGAACTATATCTAAATACAATATAATCAGTATTCTACTATTGAAATATTTGTGATAAGGAACCCCTACATGTCGTGTTAACTTTTACATGTGTAAAGGTTCGCATGGTAAAACAGAATAAATTTTTATGTTTTTCACTTACCACAACCCTCTTTTATTTATTTTCAGACAACTATGAATTTTTTTTTAAAAATTGACAAATGGGATGATAAGAGTGGCTAAAGTTTGTTCTCGCTCTCATCTTGCTCTGATAATATGCAATGGATATTCTGGGTTGTACCATATGGTTTTGGTGGAAGAGGCGACAATAGTGGAATTAAGAGGGGTGGTGGTAGAAGTGGCGGAAGAGGAGGGGAGAGGGGGGGAGAGCAAGGTTATAGATGAGCCGCATCAGAGTGAGGATGTTTTTATTGGTAAAGGGAAAAAGGATTCGCTTTGTACCAAGAATATGGTTCCTGGTGAAGCTATTTACAACAAGAAGCGAATATGCTTAGGTTTGGATTTGAGTTTATGTATATTCTGTATATTCATTTTACTCTGTTTATGACATTTCTTGATTACTTAGATAAATAAATATCTTTGGCTGATGAATGTGTGTTAATGTAAGTGGTTCCTCACCTATCATATTCTCAAATGTCCTTGTTCTGAGCATATTTGGCTAAGCTTAAGTTTACTTATATTTATTAAGTAAATAAGTAAGTTTTGTAATAAACTCATTTTAATGGTCAAGGTTGTAACTTGTTTTTATTTAAAAGAAAGGTAAACGAGTTTGTAAATAGTATACTTTTTTATAAGTATAGCCTAGATTGTCTATTCAAAGAGTTATTATTTTCCAAGATTTTAAATATTTTTGTTTTTTAGTGTTGATTTTATGTATTTTATTTAATTGGTCAGAATGAAGATATAACAAAGGTTGAATACAGAGTATGGAGTCCTTCCCGCTCGAAATTGGCAGTACCATTCTTGGTGGAGTTGATGATATTTGGATTGTAAGTTTGCAATTTTTGCTATTCTAATGTTTATTTGTATCTGTTACCTTGATAAGATGTGTTTTTGTCATTAATGTTGATATATTTTATATGTCCAATAACCCTCGGCCTGTTTGGGAGTAATTTTTTTGCTCAAAAAATTGATTTTTTGACTATTATTTCACTATTTCAGCCGTTATATTTGACTTATCTCTCACAGGTGGACCCCACTTTTCTCCTAACGGTCAAAAAATCAATTTTCAAAATCACTCCCAAACAGACTCCTTATCTGCACAATTCATTTTTTGGTCTATTTATTTGTTTAGAATCCTGTTGCTCGGTGTCCTTTATCTAGGAGCTACTTCAAGAACAACTGTTTCTCATTTATCTAATCTGGTTGGCCCTATAAGTAATTTTCTTTGTCGGAGCTCTATCATTTCTCCATATATTTCATGGAGTGGTGTTTATGAAATCCTTTTTGTAATTACACTATCTGCAGATTGGAGTGGTGTATGTAGTGGAATTTTCTCACAGAAGCGATAAGGACTTGGTCAACATGGCAAAGAAGAGGGCGAATGTTATTCCTTTTTTTAAATCTTTTTGGCAACCGTGATTAATCATCCATCTACAGCAAGTGTTTGCGCAGAATTTGATTAGGGATTAGAATCTAAATTTTAGCTTTAAGTCAAAATCAATAATTGATTTTAGAGAGGCTACAGTGAAAAGGCCTATCGCCAGTCCATTTAGCATTAATTATAATTTAACTACACATTTTATGGGACTTACAAATTTTCATTCACATATTTTATAAAATTTTATCAAAATTTACTAAAAATATTATTTTAATCCCCACCCAACAAGGGATGAGAATAAAAGTAAACAAAAGTGTTGAAGGTCAAACTGGATGACCAATGAAAATGAAAATTTGATAACATTAAGCAACGACAATAAAATTCACTGGGATTAACCGATAATAAAAAATTTCCTTACAACATGTTTTTCAACTCTCTGACGGTCATCATCAGTTAAAGCTTTAAACTTTTCTGTATAGTATCTCTCCTTCCAACCCTCTTCTCCTAGATTGACCTGACATGGAAAGACATTAGCCTACGGCCAAAAAGATACCAAAAGGTTGAGTTGTATCTAATGTGAGGAGCACAAATACAAAGAAATTAGACAACCTTGTCTTCCACAAATCTGGCCTTGGCATTTACATCAACCGGAAATATCTGAATCTTTTTTTCCACCAGACTGATTCAAAAATTAGATAACTTAAGTCTCAGAATCAGTTACATCCATCCTTGATATCAAGAAAGAAGTCAAAATGTTCAAAACGGTGCATTGCCATTGGCTGGAACTCGTCCTGTGTGCCTTTTCCATCTCATTTGATCCTGAATAATGAAATTTGTAAAGATAATACTTGTAGCAAACCAAGAGTTAGAAGGGTGCAAAAAACAAGCACTTTTCACAGTTACTGTCCACCTTTAATACAAAGGCTTGAAACTATTAAAGCCATTTGATTAAATATTAACAAGAGTATAATGTCTCCATGAACCATGATTGAGTTTCCAAAACCATGTGAGGAAAATTATTTTCCCGGGGGGGGGGGAATCTAAGCCCTTGTTTGGCCCCCATTTTGGGGAAATAAAAATGGGGGGAAAAGTTTTTTTACCATAAATAAATACAACGATTGGAAGAAAAGTATTAGAAATGATATCGAAATACTTCCAAAACGTCCATAAGAATGCCAAAACGTGCATTTGGAGCCGTGTAGTTGTAACTAAAAAACTCAAGCAAAAAGCTTTTCATAGGTTCTCATAGTGATGTAGATTCAGCTCGGCCCTTAACCTCACGAGCTCAGCTCGCGCTCGTGCAGAGGGCGAGCCGAGCTTTGGCACACGAGCTTGTCATCTTTTTTTTTTTTTTTATTAATAGAAAAAAATACAAATAATGTAGTGAAAACACTTTTAAAAAAAAAAGTGTTAAAAAATATAAATAATTTAATGAAGACAGTTTTTTTCTTTTTTTTTCTTTTTATTTATATCATATTGTACTATTTTTTATAAAATATAAAATATTTATAAAATGAAGAGGAATTGTTTTTTGAAATATATTTACAAAAAATACATTTTTTTCGATTTCTTTTTAAAGTAAATAAAATGTAAACTCTCCTCCTTTATCCGAGATTGGGACCGGTTACATCAATTTTGAGTAGGCAGAGTAAAAATTGTACACGAACAACTTTTTATAACATGTACAATTTTTTTAAAGAAAATTAAATTTAACGATTAAAAAATAATGAAATTTTGATTAATATAATTAAATCAAATATCACGTACATGACGACATGCAATTTCAGCGTATTTATCTTGTAGTCGAAAATGAGCGTGTCAATCATTCACGTACATTAACGCTTCCAAAACATTTTCTTTCAGTCAGCTCTTGACATCAGTCAAAACACTTTTACCTGCACTAAAAGTAGATTCCGAAGTAACAGTGCTAACCAGAGGTGTCAGCCGATCTTTCACAATTGCAGAAACAATTGGCCAACGTCTTTCGTACTTTTGTTAGAATTCAATTACTTCTTCTGAACTTTTATTAATTGTTCTGTTGGTTGGCATATTATGATTGAAGTAATCAATTAATTCGGCAGGCATCGCATTTTGAGTTGTTGTCGACGTTTGATGAGATGCAAATGTAGATGACATGGCACTAGATGAACACATTACAGTTGCATCATATCTAAATGTATTAATGTCTTGAAATAAATTCATTATTTCGACATCTTCTTCAATTTGAGCCAAAGGAGTGGGTGCAGAGGATACCCGATTAACATTCGCACACATTCTTTCCGTATATAAATTATATATTCCACATAATGTTTGCTCTAAATTCTTATAAATGATAGGTGTATCAAGTATTAAGACTTTATTGATTTGATCAATTATGTATTTAGTTCTCGAAATATTATATCGGGGATTCATTGCTCATGCTAAAGGAAATAACATAGGTAGTTCTTCCCAATTTTTTCTAAACCTTAATTCCATAATAATTATAATTTCACTAAAAACATGAGCATTTTTATATTTATGGAATGTTCTTGCAATTATGTAAAGGCGTTCAAGCATCATACAACTTGTGGGATAATAAACGTCAGATAAAATCTTTGTGATCTCATAAAAAGATGTTAAAAATCGTTTAACTTTCAAAACTAAAATCCAATCGGATCATTCAACATACCATCGTCACCACTTCTAACATGTCTATTGTTATAAAAGTCAGTTATTAAATGTTTGAAATCTTCACATGACTTTAATAGCAAGTAAGTAAAGTTCCATCTATGGCCCATGTTGCTAGCAAATGTTTTAGCAGTCATCGTCTCTAATTC